TCTTTTAGACTCTAGGACAGTTATATTTAGATTGTAAGAACTCATATTTCATCTTTTGTCTCTTAGCCACTTGGAGGTATCTCTTTTTTAAATTAATTAGTTTATTTGAAAGGTGGAGTCTCAGAGAAGAGAGACGGAAAGATCTTCCACCCACTGGCTCACTCCACATATGGCCACAATGGCTTGGCCAGGCTGAAGCCAGGAGCCAAGAGCTTCTTCAAGTCTCCCGTGTGGGAACAGGGGCCCAAGCCTGCTGCTTTCCCAGGTACATTAGCAGAGAGCTAGATTGGAAATGGAGCAGCCAAGACTTGAACTGGTACACGCATCACAGGTTGTGGCTTTACTGACTGTGCCTCAGAGATGCAGGTCTCAAGGAATATCTTGGAACCCACCTTGGAGATATTTCTATGCTAGCTTTTATTATACTTCATTCTTTCTTTCTTGCTGGGGTCCATTTAGTAGATGTGGGGAACACAAAGGTGTAAAGAGTATTGTTCCATTGCAGGCAGGGCCACAAGGAAATTCCCACTGTGTGGCAGGGCCTGGGGGATGTCTCTACAACCACCTGAATGGGATGGGAAACAGGGCTGCTGGGATCAGAACTGGCATCCATATGGGATCTTGTATTTGCAAGGTAGGACTTTAGTCACTAGGCTACTGCACCAGGCCCATCATTCTTTCTTTCATTAAAACTATGTGTTTTTATATCTCTTCCGTAACAGCTGTCAACCTGGAGAAATTCTGATGCTCTTTTTTTCCCTAAGATTTTATTTATTTATTTATTTATTTATTTATTTATTTATTTATTTACTTACTTACTTACTTAGGAAAGGTAGAGTTACAGAAAGAAGGAGAAAGAGAGAAATCTCTGATCCATTATTCATTCCCCAAATGGTCACATCAGCTGGAGCTGGGCCAATCTGAAGCCAGGAACCAGGAGCTTCTTCTGGGTCTCCCACGTGGCTTCAGGGTCCCAAGGCTTTGGGTCATCCTCTACTGCTTTCCCAGGCCACAGGCAGGGAGCTGGAAGGGAAGTGGAGCATCCAGGACACAAACTGGTGCCCATATGTGATGCAGGTGCTGGCAAGGGAAGGATTACGCCAATTGAGCCATTGTGCTTGGTCCTGATAGTCTTATAATCTTATTCCCCTTTCTTAGTCACACAGGCCTAGCGCACTGTCAAACTTCAGTAACTGCTAGCTGAGCGAGTGGGGGAGGGAGTGAACTGAAGAGCAGACAGCACCCAGAAATGCAGCAAAACCTCTCTCTTCCGGCTGGATGTTAGTGTCAGTGCTGCTGTGTGGCTTGTGCTTGTTCAAAGCACAGGAAGGGTGTGGTTTCTTCTCCGAAGGTGCTCTTAGCTGGGAAGCCAAGCAGTGTGGGAGTCATTCCAGCAGCTCCCTTCCATCCCCTGAGAAAGCCAGTGATGCTGGCAGAGCCGCTCTTGAGGTTACACCCATCTTCATGCTATTCCACAGGAGAAGGAAAGCAAGGGGGATACAAGGGCTTGTCTGAAATGCTACCCTGGTTAGTGTGTCCCACTAGAGTGAAGGTTAGGGCCAGTGTTGTGGTGCAACAGGTTAAACCACCACCTGCAGTGCTGGCGTCCCATAACAGAGTTGTGGTGGAATCCATCTGCTCTGCTTCTGATCCAGCTTCCAACTAATGCACATGAAAAGCAATGAAAGGTGGCTGAATTACGTGGTTCCCTGCAACCTGCATAGGAAATCAATCTGGCTGGAGTTTCTGGCTCCTGGCTTCAGCTAACAGCCCTGGCTATTGTGGGCTTTGGGCAGTGCACCAGTACGTGGAAGTGCTGTCTCTCTTACACACAATATCTCTCTCTCTCTCTCCTTGCTCTCTGTCTCATCTTACTGTCACTCTGTTATACAAAGAAGCCCTTTTAAAAAAAATTACCACATACTACAGTAGACATGGCAGTATAGTGGATTTAGCTACCACTTGAGACACCCACACCAGTGCCTGGTTTATTCTCAGCTACTCCATGCTTCTGGTCCATCTCCTGGCTAATGTGCCCTGGAGGCAGTGGATGATAGATCAAGTGCCTGGGTCCCTACCACCCATGTGGGAGACCCTAACAAAGTTCCTGGCTCCTGGCCTCTGCTTGGCTTAGCTCTGACTCTAGCAAGCATTTGGGGAGTGAATCAGCAAAAAGATCTGTCTTTCCTTTCTGCCACTCTGCCTTTCAAATTAAAAGTAAATAAATCTTTTTTAAAAAATAACGTATATCAACAAATTCTAAAACTTAAAAACAAGGTTATTAGGGCCCGGTTTTGTAGCCTAGTGGCTGAAGTCCTCACCTTTCATGTACTGGCATCCCATATGGTTGTTGGTTCATGTCCCCACTGCTCCAGTTCTTTTCCAGCTCCCACCTTGTGGCCTGGGAAACAAGTAGAGGGCCAGCCAAAGCCTTGGGACCCTGAGCCTATGTGGGAGACTTGGAAGAAGTTCCTGGCTCCTGGCTTCAGATCAGCTCAGCTCCTTTGTGGCCACTTGGGGAATGAATCAGCAGATGGACGATCTTTCTCTCTGTCTCTTCTTTTCTCTGTAAATCTGCCCTTCCAATAAAAATAAATAGAAAGAAAGAAAGTAAAAGAGAGAGGGATGAAGGGAGGGAGGAGAAAAGGAAAGGAAAGGAACGAAAGGAAAAGAAAGGAAGGAAAGGAGAGAGAGAGAGAGAGAGAATAATAAGGCTATAGAACAGCCTGCTTCTCTAACATTGTTTAGAAATGCCCAGTGGGACCCAACAGTGCCTATCCTCATGTGGGAAACCCCAGAGAATACTGCAGGAGTCCAAGATTGAAGGGTGCCAGGGAAGGACTTAGAGCCTAAGGCCTTCCTAAGACACCCCGTGGTGCGGAGTACCCCTGAGGCTGTCGAGGAGGCCCAAGGGAGGCAGGAGGTAAGAAGCAAGTGATGCTGCTGCTCCCTGATCTCACTGTGGAGAAGTTACTCCTTCAGGAGAAAGCCAGTGAGGTAGTGATGTCACTGAGACCCACATTAATCTGTGAAACTCCTTAACTGTCTTAGTATGCAATTTGCTAGTGGGTCCTATGTGATATAACTCAGCATAGAAGGGTACTTCTCTGAACACTGGTCAGGTTCTTGAAGTAGTAAAGGGTGTCCCCTGGCCAGTATACTCCAGATTTGCAGTAGGAATAATTCAGTGTAGACCAGGCACTATGTCTAGGTTCTAGTTGTCTCTTCTCTTTATATCTCGTTCCTTTCTGTAGCCATATCAGTTATGTCAGATTATTCATATAAATGTACTGTATGTCATCTTCTTTCCTCGCGGGTTTCTGCTCCTGCCCATCGCATGTGAAGTGCCTGTTACTATTCCTGATATATAACTATTATTGTTTTTTTTTTTATTGATGTCTTTATTTGAAAGGCAGAGTTACAGAGGCCAAGAGAGACAGAGTGATATCTTCTGTCCACTGATTTACACCTCATACGGCAGCAACAGCCAGACCTGGGTCAGGCCAAAGCCAGGAGCCAAGAGCCGGGAGTTGTATCTAGACTTCCCACATGGGTGGTAAGGGCCCAAATACTAGGCCTATTGTCTGCTACTTTTCCCAGGGTTCTAGATCAGAACTGGGACAATCAGGACTCAAGTTGGGCATGCTGGCATCACAGGTGGCAGCATTACCCACTATGCCCCAATACAGGCCTCATAACTATTGCCTGATAAATAGCAGATATCATTATAAATATTTCCTTGCTTCTATTCTTTTTTTTTTTATTGTGTTTATTTTCTTTTTATTTTAAATGCAGAGAGAAAACCAGAGTTCTTCTGTCTAATTGCTTACCACCCAAATGACCACTTCAGCCAGGTGTAGGCCAGTCTGAAGCCAGGAGCCAGGAACTCCAGATCTCCCACATGGGTGGCAGGACTCAAGAAGTTAAATGTCCAGGTGATGATCTGCTGCCTCCAACAGTGGACCATAGCCAGAAGCTGAATTGGAAAACGAGGATCTGGGATGTCAACCAGGTACTTTAAAATGGGATTACAGTCATCCCAAGTCCTGTCTCAACTACCATATCAAACTCCTGCCTCCTTGTCTCAATTCTTATGAGACAAAATAAGTTAGCCTTTCCTTCCCTCCTTAAACAAATACTTGATCCCTGTCTAGTACTTTTAATTCAAACCTTTGTTGAAGTTTCCTTCTTGATGAGCTGGGCTAGATAATGAAGTATCTTCATTCAAATATATGATGACAGTAATCAGAGCAGTGATTGTCTGTAGGGACTGAGGATTATGTAGATTAGAGCATAATAGAACTCTGGGTGATAAAATCGGTGTATATTTTATGTATGAATGTATACATTTGTAATTCATTATATTATACACTTCAGATTCATGCATTTCACTGTCTATAAAATTTACCTTGATTTTTTTTAAACTGGAGTCTCCTTTATTCTTTTCCACTGAAGGAGAAACCAAAACCTCAAGTGTCTATAGGAGCTTGGCAAAGAAGTTAAATGTCTGCGTGAACTATGTGGAATACCATAGGGAGGGTCCAGGGCTGGCAGCAAACTGAGAGAATATTCTTCATCCTGATGACAAGGACAATAGGAGCAGGAGCAGAACTACTTTGCACAGGCATCTCTCGTGTTTCGATCAGATGTCAGGTTTGTGGCATACCACTTTGTCATGAAGCATTTGCCAGTCTCCAAAGTGGCCTACACAGAATGATCTATGAACATGTAGGGAGGGCATATTCAAAACTTCTTTCTATTTGTATCATTTTCATGTTCTTTTTCTTCCTCATTTCAGTTTAAAGAAGAACCCACTGAATGGTTTATGCTGCATTCATCACCCATAGCCTGTACCATGTTGAACTTGAAGCCTGAGGTACAGGCAATGTTCTGAAGAATGCGGTGAGTGGACAGGCACAATGTGGGGATGGGCACTGCCCTACTGTACTGCTGAGCCCCTGTAGGGGAGATAGTGTTGCTTCAACCTCTGTAAAGAAGGATCTTGATCTTGAGAAATGGAAAGAGCACTGCTTGTATCACATCCACCCATTCTAGAAAGTGGGCTGAATCATGAGTGCTATATGATTCTTTATTAAAGAAGAAAGTTATGGCAGAGCAGGACACCTCCCAAAGCCTATGACTCCAGCCAGTTTGCTTACAGAGAAGCATGTCTCCTTGTTGATGAGCTGAGCAGTATGGAAAACAACACAGTATATGGTCAATTAAGCAAAAATGAAATTATTTTATTTCTTAAGTATAAATCCAAATTTGGCTTATGTAGTGACTCTGGTTTTCAGTTGTCAGTCTTCCAAGTTTCTTCCATCTACTTGCTACCTTCTCTAGAGCACCACCCTTATTTATATGGTCCATAATACTCATCTGTGGCCAAAGGAAAAAAAGTGATGACTATGAGAAAGATAGGGAAAATGGTTTTGAGGCCACCTACTAGTATCTGACATGCTATGACAACCAAAGTTCAACCCTGAAACCAGAAACCAAAGGAAACCAAAAGTGATCTCAGGGCCTATGAGACCTGAGCTTTTTTGTATTTCCCAAGTGGGAATTTTATAAATTTTCTTTTCATTTTTATTATTTACAAGGCAGAGGGAGCTCCCATCCCCTGGGCTACTGTCCAGATGCCCACAATGGCTGGCACTGTGTTTGGCTGAAGCTTGGAGTCAGAATTCAATCCAATTCTCCAATGTTGTAGTGATAGAGATCCAACTTTTGAGCCATCATCTTCTATCACCCAGGGTCTTCACTTGCCTTTTAAGTTCAGAACTCTGGATACCAAAAACTCATAGTTCCTATCCAAGAGCATGGAAAATCCAGTCAAAAGTTCTGTCTGTCCTGAGCAACAGGGCACACATCATATGTAAATACGGTGGTACTGACGCTGGCTGATCTTTCTCAAACAAACTGGGCATGTTTTAGTATATTTAAGATAAGTGCACAGACACCGACTACAGAAGATGTGACCACATGCAGTGGAATAGATGCGTCTTCTACTCAGCTCAATCTCTGAGTACCCATCCATGCACACTCGACACTGGATATAGCCAGGTTGTAAGTGACTTGCAGTTCCTTCTTCCAGATAATGGCGACGAGCACTGCGAGCCACATACACATCTCTGTTGCTCATCCATTGACCATCACTGCTTACCACACGGCTACCAGTTTGGGTTTGGCGTGACCTTGTGTTTCTCCTTGGCCTTCTCCATTGCTCAGTGATCACAACAGAGTCATGGCAAGTTAGGTCAATCACTACAGGTTCAACAGACTCACAAGTGAGGTCAACCACTTCATCACTTTCCTCTAGTTCTATTAGTTCTGGCTCCAGGGCCATGTCAGGCCTGGGTCTCCTTCCCCAGCTGTTGCTGAGTGTCAGGCATGTCTGGATTTCATCATGTTATCACAGCACATTCTTGCAACTAATTAGCCTTTTGGATTCAGTCTTCAGAGAAGTGATATATGCCAGTCTATACAGCAAATGTTGAAGTCCTCAATACCCACAGTTGTTGGTCAGTCACTTTCTGATGGACATGAGAATTTGGAGCTCAGGTTTTCTACTCCAGCTAATCTCTGATTCTGGTTCTAGCCCCGTCTCAGCCTTCCACAGCAGATGAGTCCTCTGGGAAGTCTCTTAGAAGACAGTTCAACCTGAAAACAAAACAAAACAAAAAAAAAAAAAAAGGAAGAGTATTAAGCTTTGATAATATCCAAAATAAGATTGACAAATATAGGCTTTGTATTTGTATAAAATGTGTATATAAATATATAAAGAGAATTCATATGCCAAAAAATTATATTTACATTTAGTTAAAGTTTGGAGGCCACTACTGTTGAAACTGAGTGCCCCTACCCATTGCATGGCCTGAAGATGGTGGGGAATAGGAGGAACCCAGCACACCTCATTAAATATCAAGGTTCTCAGGGGTATTATGAGAAACTCAAAGAAACGTGTTTTTAATATAAAGTAAAAATAGATACCCAAAAAGCTCTTTATACATTTGAATTTCTTTTTTTTTAATTTATTATATTTTTACTTGAAAGTTAGACTAACAGAGAGAGAGAGTCACTCCCCAAATGGCCACAATGTCTGGAGCTGAGCTGGTCTGAAGCTAGGAGCTTCTTCAGGGTCTCCTAGGTGGGTAGGAGCCCAAGGCTTTGAGCCAACCCTCTGTTGCTTGCCTGGGCCATAAGCAGGGAACTGATTAGGAAATGGAGCAGCGGGGACACAAATCAGCACCCATATGAGATGTAGGCACCACAGGCAGAAGATTAGTGTGCCACTACCAGCTCCTACATATTTGGATTTCTAACAAGTAAAAAAATTAACCATTTAATCTACTTGCAGGTTCATCTTGCTCAGGATTCTAAGAGGCAAGAAGTAGAGTTTTTTTCACTTGAAAGGCACAGACAGAGCTCCATTATCTGGTTTACTTCCTAAATTGCTATAACTGTAGGATGCTGGGCAGGGGGCAAAAGCAAGGAGCTAGGAATTTAATTGAGGCATCCCACACAGGTAGGGGCAACCCAACTGTGTAAGCCATCACCACTGCCTCCCAGGAGCTGCACTGACAAGAAGCTGGGCTGAGGCAAGCACCAGGATTGAACTCAGGTTCTCTGGTACAGGACATGCGGGTCTTAGTTGGGAGGCCCAATTCCCACCCCTTCAAGTCCTGATTGTGTTTCAGGAAGGAGGGAGATGCAGTCTCATCACTAGCCGTGGAGAGACTTGGATCGAATTTTTGCTCTGTGATTTTGGAGCATATGACCCAGAGGTTGAGTTTTCAAAACCTCAGCAAATAAAGCCTTTTAAAAATGATCTTCTAATTTAAACTAATGCACTGTTAGTCATTGAGGAAATATAAATCCAAGCTATAATGAGATAAATGAGATACTATTTCATGTGCACTGGAATCATTATGATCAAAAAGATAAGCGTTGGGCCTGGCATGGTGGCCTAGTGGTCAAAGTCCTCGCCTTGTATGCACCAGAATTCCATGTGGGTACCAGTTCATATCCCTGCTGCTCTACTTCCAGCTCCCTGCTTGTGGCCTATGAAAGCAGTCAAGGGCAGCCCAAAGCTTTGGAACCCTGCCGCACGGGAGAGCCAGGAGAAGCTCCTGGCTCTTACCTAGCTCAGCACCAGCTGTTGCAGCCACTTGGAGAATGAACCAGAGGATGGAAGATCTTTCTCTCTGTATCTCCTCTGTAAATCTGACTTTCCGACAAAACAAATAATTAAATCTTTAAAAAAAAACTTTTAAAAATGTTTAAGAAAACTTTACTGTAACAAAAATACAAGTATTGACAAGGATATAGAAAGACTAGAATGCTCCCCAGGTGTTACTGCTGGTGGGAATGTAAAATGGGGCATCCTACACTAGCAGGCTGGCAGTTGCTTAAAGATTAAACATATGATAATTTAATGACTCATTAATTCCACACCTAGGTATATACCCAAGAGAATTGGAAACTTACGTCCACACGAAAACTTACACAAAAGTGTTAATTACAACATTATTCATAAGAGCCCACGATCCAAAAGCCCATTAAATGATGAGTAGGTAAAGAACACTTCACATATTCACTCGGGAGCATCACAAAGCAATGAAAAGAAATTAAGTACACTTGCTACAGTATGAGTGAGCTCTGATGAGAAGCCAGTCACAAGTGGTGTGTTTTGCTTGTATGAACACGTGTGGTATATTTCAGCTTACATATATATGTGCTGCTGAAGCCAGCACATGTTTCAGATTCCTTGTAATGTCAAGAAGAGGGTAGTCCAGGGAGACAGAAAGACTGGTGGTGACCTTGGACTGTGTGAGAAATGGGGAATAACTGCTCCTGAGTCCAGGGGGTTTCTTTTGGGGGTGATGAAATGTTCTAAAGTTCAGGTGATAAGTACACAACTCTCAGAATATAGTGAAACTTCACTTAACTGTATGCCTTGAATGTGCTCCTTGTATGTTTCATGAGTCATCTCCCAAAATATATAGTCAACAGATGATAGACAATTAGTGAAATGTGGACTTTGACGAAAGCTCTAGAACCTTGTGAGGAACTGAAAATGGGTGGGGCTGTGAAGGCACAGCACCCAGCTCCTCCTCGTGCCCTGACCCACTTACGGAAGCAGTACTTCTCTGGGCTCCCACAGCACCTGGCTATCCCTGGATAGCTGTCCTCCACTCTGCATTTCCTGACCGGCCAGGCTGGTTATCCTTTCCACTCTTCCAAGAGGCCTGGGGACCAGTCCAGGCAGCCCCGGAAAGCAGTGCCTACCGCGTCTGGGCCCACCTGTGAGCCGTCAATACCCAGCTATTTTGTTGTGTCTCTAGTCTGGTCCTCCCAGAGTAGGAAATCAGCAATTGGAGAGCTGGCAGCCTGAGCTCCAGCCGTGCGCCCCTTTGCCGGCCCTAGGCTACTTCCCGTTCCTCAACAGAGGCCCGTGCGAACCGGCAGAATGGCCGGCTCCCTTGGGCTGGGAAGGAGGACGGTGTGGCTGCAGAGTGGGGCCGGGGTGAACTCCAGGCCCGGCAGAGCAGAGATAGGGCAGTGCGGGAGGGTGTACTCACCGCGGACGCACCCAGGCTGGCGGCGGCGCTCAGAGAGCAAGGCCAAGTTTACCCAGTGGCGCCGCACGGTGCAAACTCTTAAGACTGGATGACGATACGTTCTGGGGGTTCTCCACTTTTAGTCTACTTTTGCAGTTTTCCAACTGCCCAATCAGAACGCCAGTTCAGGGTGACTCGTCATCAGTCTCCGAACAAATAACATTGTTACAGGTTAGAGAAGGGGACACTCCCGACTGTAGTAGCGTTTCTCCAAAGCCTGGTGATTTCCGAGAAAGGGACGGGCTGGGTTGCTTACTCCATCCCGCCCACTAGTGGTTAGTTAGATGGACCGCTTTCCTCGGTGCACAAGTGATTGCCAGCAAGGACACGGGCTTTTGGAAGTGAATAGAGCTAGGCTGAGTTGTTCTAAGGCTGAAGTCGCTTGCGGTGTTTAGGGGCTAAGTGGGGCGGTGTTCCAGCGTTTTTCTCTCTCTTTCTTTCTCTCTCTCTCAAATCGTGATGATGTTATGAGTTTTATTTTCCAGTTTATTCTTTCTCCTCTCTTCTGCCCCTATCCCATCAATACAGCATGCCTCTTAGTTTTTGGTATCACCAGTTCATAGAGGTCCAGGCCAGTTGCAAGAGTCTGGCAGTTTTTTATACCAACCTGCAAAGCCAGCCTAGAGCATTCATATACTCAATTACTTGACTTTCGTAATCATATTAGCTAAAGAGACACCCCAAAATCATTACTATCAAAAAGAGTATTGAAAAAAAGGTGGGAGATATTGGATTGAATGAAATTGAAACTTCTAGTCTACACTGGAGTCCCGGAGACCCTGTTCATCTCATTCCACCACTCCTGAGCATGGGGATTGAGTTCCTATTCTAGAAACCCAGCAGATAAGGCTCCTTTATAACCAGTGACTTACATATCATCCCATCAGTGGCCAATATCACTTCATTTTACAGATAGGAAAACTGAGGTGGGGAAAAATGACAAGAGATGAAGGAGGCAGGACTCCACGTTTGGGAGGATGCAGTTAGCCTTGATACATTTCCTCTGCAGGAAGGTGATTCTCAGAAACCTTGAGGCTTCTGGAAAGAACTCTGTCTTTGGGCCTGTCCCTCAGAGGAACTAACCACACAGGGTAGGTAAGGATCATTTTGTTACTGAAATCCCTTCAGGGAAAGGATCCCATAATGGAGTTGTTTTCATCAGCTCAGTGTCAGCTTATTCCTGGTAATCCTCTGGGATTTCAGGGTAATTTGCTCTAGCAGGCTGTGAAGACAAACACTGGAAGTATAAGCAATTGCCTCATCACCATCCCCCTCTCAGGACATGGCTGGGACAGAGCCTACTACAGAATAGATAGATATTCCATAGTCATTGAATAAATGAATAAACTTTATGAGAACGAGTATCTCACTATGGATAATGACAAAAGTTCAAGTTAATAATGCCGACTGTGTCCATCCTTTTCATGAAAGTAGGATTCAAACTCAGTGACATTCAACCCCTTAGCATCTTTTCGTGTGCATGTGGAGTTTGGAATTGCATATGTAGGGATCCAGCAGAGGACTTACAGTAGCAACTGATGCCCCATCCAGTTTGGCTCTGTAAGCTACTCCCCAGCTTTTGCATAAGTTGCTGCTAACAGCTGGCACCTACAGATGACTGTCAGAAGAAGGAGAGCACTGGAAGGATCCAGGAGTTTTCTTTTACCCTACCCCACAATCCTGTATAACCAAAGACAGGCTGATGCGGAATACCAGAGCACAGCTCCCATGCCTTGAAGCAGCACAAACTTGGAGATGTATTTTGTATTCTCGAGCTCTCCATGGGAGCAGAACTCAGTGTGGAACTTTGGGAATTACACTCTAACTTGGCCTCCTTCCACTCTCTGTCCTTTATTCCCTACCCTCTTACTATTTGTTCCTAAAAGCCTTTCCTTAGTAAGCCACTTTGCATCCTAATCCTTGGCGAAGAGACTGACTCCTCTTTGGATAGCAAAAAGGGCATACACACTTGCAGACAGCTAACGATATCTAGAAAACCGCTTCAGGTAACACTATCATTGTGGGGCAGGAAAAAAAAAAAACTTTTTTGTTTTTCTAAGTAAAAACCATAAAAACGAGGAAGTGGCTGCTGGGGGAGGGGAATCCTGCCCATCACTGTGGGCACCATCAGCTGGGCCCGCATGCTTTACTGAGAGGTACAACTATCCCTTCCCATTTCTTTCATTTATGTTGTGGAGGATCAAGGAGCGAAGAATAATTGTGCATAACTTATGAGAGGAGATGTCTGAGTTAGTGCATAATGAGTGTTTGGTACCTGAGCAGCTGTTGCTTTTAATTATATTAAGTTATCTTTTTCCTCTCAGCCCTTCTGGTGCCTCTCCAAAAAATCAGAATAGTTTTGTTTTTAAAAGATTTATTTATTCAAATGGCAAAGTGAGGGAAGGGAATACAAGGGTGACCTCTGTCTCATCTACTGGTTTATTCCCCAAATGCCCACAACAGCCAGGTGGAATGCAAGAAAATGATTCAGGTCTCCTACTTGTGTTGTAGAAAGCCAAGTTCTTGGGCCTTCATCTGCTGCTGTTCAGGTGCCTTAGCAGCAAGCTGGATCAGAAGCGTGGAGTGTTGCGAGTTGAATATGAGACACAGGGATCCCAAGCTGTGGGTTAACTACACCAAAGTTCCCATCCCTCAGAATAGTTTTCATGCATACAGCTTTTAGTCAGGATTTTGATTAACATTTTATTACTGCTTTACTCAGTTGTTAGCCTGCATTTTCCCCCCCAGCGAATCTATCATAATTTGGTATGTTAAATGTATCAGCATTAAAAAGAATCTTGAATTGTTGAAGTTCAATTGAGGTATCTTTAAACCTGAAAAGAAAAAGAAAATGGTTAGCACATTTATTTTATTTGAACAACACATCTCACCAGCAAACTTGTCTAACTTTTGCTCTGTAGATTACTTTTGTGTGTGTGTTTCTGTTTTCACCCACTTGAAAGGCAGAGTGACACAGAGGGAGATCTTTCATCCATTGGTTCACTCCCCATCTTAAAATAAATAGCTGGGTGAATGTTTAGCCTAACAGTTATGACGCTTGTTAGGCTGCTGTATCCCACATGGAAGTATGTGAATCCAGGCCTCAGCTAATGCAGAGCATGGGAGGCAGCAGTCATAGCTCAAGTAGCTGATTTCTGCCACCCACATAGGAGATCTACATTAAGTTCCCAGCTCCTAACTTCAAGGACCAATGTGGGCATTTGGGGAGTAAACAAGTGCATATAATTCCTCCACATATTTTTCCTGTTCTCTCTCCCTTTCCTTTCCTCCTTCCCCTCAAATGAACAAATAACAAACAAACAACTAGCCACAGGCAATTCTCTAAGCCCAAAGAATATTTCCCATTAGTTGGTCAATTGGTACTTTCAAAATCTTACAGTTAAGCACTCTGGCATTAGTGTTTGGATCCTGGCTCTGCCATTGTAGTTGTGTGACTGGGCAGCTCACCCAATCTCTCTGAAACTCTATCAAATAAATTTTCTTGTCTTCGAACAGAGCAGGTCTGAATAGGTTTCCACAGCATGGGTAGTGGAATGTTAGTGAAAAGCTGCATTTTCTACTTCTGGACTCCAACTTAAGATGCAGAGAAGAGAAAGGCACTGTGGCATAGTGGGTTAAGCTGCCAACTGTGACACTGGTAACCCCTATGGACACCAGTTTGAGCCCTGGCTTCTCTTCTTCCTTTCCAGTTCCCTGATACTGCATCTAAGCAAGTAGCAGAAGATGGTCCAAATGGTTGGGCCCTTGTATCCACATGGGAGACCCGGAAGAACCTTTTGGCTCCTGGTTTCAGCCTGGTCATATGCAAGCCGTTATGGCCATTTGGACAGTGAACCATAGGATGGAAAATCTTTCCCTTTCTCTGACTTGCGGTTCATTTTTAAAATGGTTTTTTTGGATGCCAGCAGTGTGGTATAACCAGTAAACCTACCACTACAGTGCTAGCATTCCATATGAGCACTGGAGTGAGTCCCAACTGCTTCACTTCCAGTCAGCTCTGTGCTGATATGCTTGGGAAAGCAGCAGCAGATGGCCCAAAAGCTTGGGCCCTCCACCCACATGGGAGACCTGGAAGAAGTTCCTGGCTCCTAGCTTCAGCCTGGCCCAGCCCTAGCCATTGCAGCCCTTTGGGGAGTGGGCCACCAGATGGAAGATCTCTCATTCAGTTTCTCTCTCTTATTCTTGCTCTATCTCTTTCTCTCTCTCTCTCTTTCTCTCTCTCTCTCTCTTTCTCTCTCCTCTTCAAACTGCAACTCTACCTTTTAAATAAATAATTTTTTTAACTTTTAAAACATTTTTTTCTTTCTTTTTCTAATTGGAAAGACAGATCTGCAGAGAAAAGGAAAAACAGAGAGAAAGATCTTCCATCTGTTGGTCCATTCTCCAAATGGCTGCAATGGTCAGAGCTGAGCCAATCTGAAGCTAGGAGCCAGGAGCTTCTTCGGGTCTTCCATGTAGGAACAGAGTCCCAAGGCCTTGGGCCATCCTCTACTACTTTCCCAGGCCACAAGAAGGGAGCTGGATGGGAAGTACAGCAGGCGGGATACAAACTGGTGCCCATATGGGATCCTGGTGGTGCATATAAGACAAGGTTTTAGCCTCTAGGTTATTGTGCCATGCCCAATAAACAAATCTTTTTTTAAAAATGGTTTATTTACTTATTCATTTACTTAAGAGGCAGAGGGACCAGCTGAGTTCCCATGTACTGATTCATTCACTAAATGCCTGCCACAGCCAGGGCTGGGAAAGAGCCAGAAACTGGGAACAATCCAGGTCTCCCCATGGCCTGGAATCAGGAAGTCAGGCACTCCGTTTATGGTATGTGGGCGGGTGTCTTCATGGTTGTGTTAACCACTAAACCAAATGTTTCTCCCACAGAGTGGCTCATGTTTGAAGGCTCCCAGTGGAGAAGCTCAATGTGGAAATATCAGAAGAACGTCAAACCCTCGCATGTGATGTTGGTAAGCAGTGCCTCTGTCCCATTAGGGCACACTGGCAGCTCCTCTGCCCTTCCCTGTGGAGCGTCAGTGGTGTCCACAGAGTTGCACCTGCAGCCGCATGTCCCTCCATGTGCTGCTACTTAGCAGAAAGGAATGTGGTCTTACAGAATTCTTCGCTGCCTAAATGCTACCCTGATTGTGATTCTCCACATGGTATGTGGGGATTATAATGTTAAAGTTAGTGAAAAATAGTCCCAAGGATAGTGAAACAACGTTTTTCTTAAGTTCAAAAACTCACCTCCATGCTGCTGATTAGTAGTCTCGGTCTATGAAAAAAAAATGGAAAAAGAAAAGAGAAAATCATGAAGTTTTCACTTTTAAAACACCATGTAGTTTTTTTTAAAATCTATTAAAAAATGTCTAATACTAAAATAAGCCTGAAAGAGGGAGGAAGGGACCATCATTCTATTGGTAGAATTGTACCTACGAACTACATTGAATCTGTTAAAAAATAAGCTAACTTTTTGAAAAGGAATTAATAAAATATCTAACACAAAGTCTTCTGGAGGTGGTCAGATCAGCCTGCTGTTCCCAAGATAAATATTTTGCTTGGAAATGCCCTGTGGGACCCAACAATACCCACTAGCCTCATAGGCAAACCCAGCCAGAGAATACGGGAGGAATCCAGGATTGGAAGGTGCTGGGAAAGCAGGGCTTACAGCCCAAAGTCTCTGAAAACATTCCATGGTGTTAAGTATCCATGAGGCTGCCAGGAAGTTCTGAGGTGGGCAGGAGTAAGAAGCATTGGGAGTGCATGTGCAGGGCTGTTGCTGTTTCCTGCTTCTGCTGCCACTGTAGGGAGGCAATGGGCCCAGGGACGTGACATTTGGTGGCAGCTCAGCAGGTGCCACCCATCAGTGCCTTAAGAACCTTACCTGAGGATTCCAGATTGTAGTTCTTATTTTTTAAGGCAGCGTTATGCTGTGGCTATACTCTGGTGCAACGCTCAGCAGTTAAGGGATTTGGAAAAACAAAACAAAACAAAAAAAAAGCCTTACCCCATTTGACTACCATGGGTTGGTTGAGAGTGACATGCTTCACACGGCAGGAATACTCATCCTTATCATTGGGGGTGAATTCCGTGTGGACCAGGAGATAGAAAGACCAATCCTTGCTGAAAGACAGGTCTGACTGCTCCACTTTGTCTATCTTCACTCCATTCTTCAGTAGCTCAATTTCAATCTGGGGTGGATGAAACCCAGACACGTAGCAGTTCAAAAAGTTAAGTTTTCCATTCTCTGCCGGGTGACGTGAGTACACTTGGACAGTTGGAGCACCTGAGGAACATTGGGGAAAGACAAATGAAAATCGCCAGAAATTCTCACTGGAGAATAACCTGACTTGAGCTCCATTAGGCACCATGAGTTTAAATTTGATCACCTATCACAATTACATTTCTACTTGGGCCAACTAAGCTTCCATTTTACCAAACATGCCCCCTTCTTTTTTTCCTTTGAGATTTCCAGCAGTATCTTTTTCTTGCCTTGGAGACCATGTTTAGTTTTTAAGAGTCTTGTTCTGATGGTTGCTTAACATGCACAGAATCCCTTAACGCTGGTGGAGAACATCCAGCTTGCAGGGCCATATATTATTCCCACAAAATCATTTGGTCTGACTTTGCCAAGGAAACCACAAGTGGGACTCAAAATTCAGTAATTCTATAGTAGGCTAATTTGCAAGTTGATTTGTATGGCCCATAAATGATGTAAATAGCCAAACAGCCCTTGGCATAAAACAAAACAAAACAAACAAACAAAAAACATTCTCCCCTCTTGCCTTGACACATCATTGAAGAGCCTGTATGAATTGGCTGCAATTGACTTTCCAAACTTCATTTCTTATCTCACTTACCCTGCATAGAATTTACATCCAATCTCTCGTATTATTGTGCTGTTTCAGCCCCTTCCATTTTCCCCATTATGTTTATTCCTGTCCTTTTTGGTTCTAGCTGACCTTTGTGGTTCCTACACCTACACCCATCTGACTTCCTGTTATGTGCTAAGTATCTAGTTCAGTGCCTAACATATGCAGTTGCTCTACAATGGCAGGTGTTATTGTTATGACCTCCTAGCTCAGATTCATAAACAAGTCAACCCCCAGTATGTTCCTGCCAAGCAAGCCTCTTTTTATTCATGGCCCAGAGTTTATTTGCCAGATCTCCATTTAATTTCGTACATGTTTTAGGAGCTAGAAAACACACTGAACTCAAATATGTCTGCAAGAGCTGTGTTAAGCCTCTACCTGAGGTGCAGCATCCTCTGTCAGCATCAGCTGGAGTTCTAGCAGCTCCACTTCCAGTCCAGCTGCCTGCTCATGCAAATGGGAAGGCAATGGAAGATGGCCCAAGTGCTTGGATATAATGGTGTTCCAGGCAACTGGTTTCAGCAGTCATTTGGGGAGTGAATCAGTGGATGGAAGATCTTGTTATTTCTCTCTCTGTAATTCTCTCAAATAAATAAATCTTTCTTTTATCTTTTTAAAATCCTTTTTAAAAAGATTTATTTTTTTTAAAGATTTATTTTTATTATTTTTTTTTATTGGAAAGGCGGATATACAGAGAGGAGGAGAGACAGAGAGGAAGATCTTCTGTCTGATGATTCACTCCCCAAGTGAGCGCAACAGCCCGATGCTATGCCGATCCGAAGCCAGGAGACTCTTCCGGGTCTCCCACGCGGGTGCAGGGTCCCAAAGCTTTGGGCCGTCCTTGACTGCTTTCCCGGGCCACAGGCAGAGAGCTGGAAGGGAAGCGGGGCTGCTGGGATAGAACCGGCACCCATATGGGATCCCGGGCGTGCAAGGCGAGGACCTTTAACCACTTGCATCACCGCGCCGGGCCCGAAAAAAGATTTATTGTTTTTATTGGAAAGGAAGATTTACAGAGAGAAGGAGAGAAAAATAAAAAGATCTTCCGTCCACTTGATTCACTCTCCAAATGGCCACAACGATTAGAGCTGAGCTGAGCTGAGCTGAGCTGAAGCCAGGAGCTTCCTCTGAGTCTCCCACACTGGTGCAGGGGCCCAAGGACTTAGACCATCCTCTGCTGCTTTCCCAGGCCACCAGAAAGGAGTTGGGTGGTAAGTGGAGCAACTGGGAAATGAACCAATGACCATATGCAATCCTGACGCTTGCAGGGGGAGGATTAGCTCATTGAGTCATTGCACTGGGTCCTAGTTCTCTTTTCTAAAAAAAAAACAGAACGTAAATGATGCCAGAGGACCCAGAATCCAGGTTCATCCAGAGCTTGGAATTCTTTCGGAAGGCAGCGGGCAGGCTTTTGCAAGAGTACCACTAGACTCTCTCCTGAGAGGAGGAGGAGAATCTGATAACCTCTACTTCCAGCCACTTATTGGCTCTGCGGCTTTGGGAGAGTAATTGAAGCTTATGAGGCTTAAAAATGTGTGCCCACAGGTTGACAACACCCCCACTGGCAGGTCAGAAGGAGAGCAGCCCCCAGAGGTAATCACCTCTGTACACTGCTGTGAATCTTCCAGAAAAGACACATGCATGATACACCCTATCTTGGAAATCTTCAAATAAGATTTTTTACAAAGTCAGGTTGTTATTTGTAAAACAAAACAAAACAAAAAAGCAATCATCTGTTATCACCAGCCAATATCAATACCAGTGGGGATGCAGACATTTGTACTGATTTTATAAACAAATCATATTTCAATTAAACCTATGTTTGGATGATCAGAACTTGGTTTTTTTTTTTACAAGATTTATTTATTTTTATTGGAAAGTCAGATTTACAGAGGGGAGGAGAGAGAGCTGAGCCGATCGGGAGCCAGGAGCCAAGAACCCAAAGCCTCTTCCAGGTTTCCCATGTGGGTGCAGGGTCCCAAGGCTTTGGGCTGTCCTCGACTGCTTTCCTGGGCCACAAAGAGTGAGCTGGATGGGAAGCAGGGGTACCAAGATTAGAACCGACACCCGTATGGGATCTCAGTGCCTTCAAGGCAAGGACTTTAGCCGCTAGGCCACCGCACCAGGCCTGCATGATCAGAACTTTTGGCAGGAAAAGCCAAGCCAGTACTTAGTTAGGTATTTAGACTGTGCCCAAGACCTTGGTACCCTCAGTCTTGATAAACATCTTGGATTACAGTCATCACTGGGTTTACAACCCCGCTGACCCATACATCTCCCCTTTTTCAAAACTGAAAGTAGAGACTCTGTCCATCTTGGAAACAACCAGGCCAACTGCCAAAGAGGAAGTCCTCTGCCAAGGCAGGACAAAAGCTGGGCCAGAGCTACTAGGTGCCCTGACTGGAGGACACTGAGGCCCCTAGGCCAGTTTGCAAGCCAAATTACAGCCCAAAAGCCAGGCTTGAGCAAAAGACCTTGGTCAAGCTCAGGTTGCCTGCCCCATTTGAGTAAATGGTAATTTCCAGGTTTCGGTTTCCCCCTCTTTCAGAAACAGGCGTTAACCACACTTTGAGATGTCCCCGGTGCATACTCAACATTAAGACACTAAGTTCCTGATGTACTCAGCGTGTTCAGTTAACGGTAGTACCAGCCAGGCGGGTGTCTTCCCTGCCTGAGGGACGCCCAAACCGCTGCCTTGCCTGCCTCCTCCACCCAGACCACAGACACCTGTTGCCCCTCATTCTCAGCTTCCAGCCCCGTGCCCTCCCTCCAGCTGCGCTCCGCCAAGGCAGCTAGCGGCTCGTGAAAGAGAAACACCCCACCCCCACTGGAGCTGACCGACTCCCTCCTAAAAAACTTTGTCTCCACTACCCTACCCGGCTCCCTACAGAGAGGAGCAGGAAGGCAAGTCCCGCGGTCACACCCGCTTTCCTGGAGACCCAGCCTGGAATCAGTGCCGCAGCCGGAAGAACTTGGAAGACTGAGGGATCCAGAGTTAAAGACAGCCAAAGAGGGTGGCAAGCGGAGAGAAAAGGTCAGTGAGGGAAGGAAGAAGGGGACACTCACGCTGGATGGCATCCAGGCCTGGCAGGAAGATGAGCGCGATTGCGAGCGCGGCCAAGGCGAAAGCCACCGGACGGGACATCGCGGCGGGAGCACTGCGACTGAAGGTGGGGTCGCGCTGCGCCCTCTTATATTGGGCTTGCCCACATCCAATCAGGACGCAGCTTGTGGAGCCGTCATCTGTGTCTGGGCGCGGGAGGCAGAATCAGGTTAGAGAAAGGGACTTTCCCATTTGCAGTTTCATTTTCTTGTCAAGTCTCGTGATGCTTATAAAAACAAGGCGTGGATTGGCTTGGGTGGGTTCGCTGTCCATCAGCGCTGTTGGATTTGGGGTGGGGTGTGCGAGGCGTGTCCTAGGACTCCCGAGCTGGAATTCCAGCCCCCTCCTCGCTTTGCGGGAACTGGCCTGGGAGAATGTTCGGTGTCTCAGCCAGCTAAGGTAGCTCAGAAACTCGAAAATGTGCCCAGCAACATTCCGAGCGTGGACAGGCAACTGGCAGGATAGGATCCTTCGAGTGAGAACAAACAAATATACAACCCTACCCCGTCCCACCTCACCTCACCCCATAGGAACCTCTGCCCTCCTGAAGACAGCTCAGGGAACCCTGGCAGGGGGAATGAGGGCCTTTCCTGCTTAATCGCATCCCTTTGGGGGTGTGAGGAGGACGTTTCTCTCTGTAAAAAAACTGTGCCAAGAAGTTGCTCCCAACGGCCTTGAGAGGTGGGGGTAGCAGGGGACAATCCCTGATAGCTGAAACAGCAGCTGCTTAGGGCACTGGAGTGTCCAGAGCTTTCCAGGTGCATCGTTTGTCTCCTTAGCAATGACCACCTTGGTAAACCACCAGGTAAACCAGGTGCATGAATGAGTGAAAGCAACAGTACACTCCAGGAAGCAGGAATGGCTTCACCCCTTTTATGGATAAGGAAAACAAAAACTTAGAAGCTAGTGTTCAAACGCTGGCCTGATTTCCTGTGGCATCGGTCCTTTTGCTTTGAACGCTTGGAAGACAAAGGGCTCAGCAGTTTGTGAGCGAGTTAGGATTGCATGTGTGTGGGCTCAGCCAAGGCAGTCTGACCCGTGAACTAGAAGAGGAGAACTGTGACAGACAGACTGTGTAAGAAAACCTGTGCTAAAGCTCCATCAAGAGCAGCGCGCACTGCGTGGAGACTGACAATGAGAAGAGGAAGTAGACCCTGAGTGTGGGCAAAGAACAAGATCTTTGAAATCACCGGGATTCTCAGCGTAAGGGGGTTACACGGGTCTTCCCCAGGGACTGCAACCGAACGTCTGGATTACTGTGTCCTTTGAGGCTTTTAATGCTGTTTGCTGGGGAAGCTACGCCTCAGACTCAAGCAAAGCAGAATATTCCGCACAGACCTAATGAAGTGAGGTAAAACGCTGCCTGCCTGACGCAGCACCTACCAAAGTGTATGACAACTGCTTCAGTTACCCGTTTCCCTGGCTTTTCTACCGGCCTTTTCTGTAACTCTGAAATAGAAAAACAAATATCATGCAAAAAGTTATGATGTTCTTGCCTTCCCTCTTTAAACTGTGTGAAATCTCTTTAAGTTATTTAGGCCTGAGATGTTAATGTTGAATTGTGTTAGAAATGTGCCTTACCAAGGGACTAGCCTATTTTTAGCTTTTAGGTCCTTGTTTACCAGGTTGCAAATAAACACTGAACTTAAAACTCCTTAAAGCTCAATCTCAGCCTGTTTAAGTGAACAGAGAAGCATTTAATTTTTTTTTTCTTTTAATTGAAAAGGTAGATATACAGAGGGAAGGAGAGACAGAGAACGATCTTCCATCCCCTGAGTCACTCCTCAAGTGTCCACAATGACCAGAAACAAGCTGATCCGAAGCCAGGAGCCAGGAGCTTCCTCCAGCTCTTCCATATGGGTTCAGGGTCCCAAGGCTTTGGGCCATTCTTGACTGCTTTCCCAGGCCATAAGCAGGGAGCTGGATGGGAAGTGAATAGATTTGAACCAGCATTCATATGGGATCCTGGAGGATGTGAGGTGAGGATTTACCCATTAGGCTGCCGTGCTGGGCCCAAGAAGCAGTTTTAAAGGCAATAAAAGATATAATAAAGACAGACAATAGTCTGCTTTTCAGCTTTCTCCATGAGGGAGACTGTTGCATTTTTCTTCAACTTCCATTTATGACTCTTTTTGATCAGTGATGAAGAAAATGAGAACAAAACTTTTTGAGAAAAACAGTAAATGCTGGTAAGAATGCAAAGGGATTCACATGTACTCCTTGTGGATATGTAAACTGGTGTGAATACTTTGGAAATAGTTTGATGGCTTTTTTTTTCTTTTAAAATCTTTATTTATGTACTTATCTGAGAAACAGAAAAGGAGAAAGGAGGAAAGAGAGAGTGGTGAGGGGGTGGGGGTTGGGAATACCCATCCTCTGGTTTGCTCCAGGTGTCCACAAAGGCTAGGGTGTGGCAGCGGCTGAATCTGGCTTTCTGAGATTGGCTCATTCAAATACCCAGAAGAGCTGGAGCCATGGCGGAGAGAGGCACAGGCACGGAGGGCATTTGTGTGGGACTCTTTAGAGCATTCTTGGCTGTGTTTTTACCCTGTGACCCAAACTATGACTGGGCAGGGATCTGGCTGCCTTATAGGCTTGTGTATAATCAACATACACTGCCAATTACCAGTTTGCTTTTATTGGGAAAAATCATGCATACATAATACAAAAAAGTCAGCATTATAGGAGTATAAGATATTAATTTCTCCCAAATCTCCTAATAATAGCCACTGTTTGGGAAGAATATTGATTTTTAAATTTTTATTTATTTTTATTTGAAAGGAAGATTTTACAGAGAGAGCAGGAGAGATCAGTCTTCCGTCTGCCGGTTCACTCCCCAAATGGTTACGGTGACCAGAGTGAAGCTAGAACCAGGAACTTCTTTCTGGGTCTGCCACACAGTTGCAGGGACCAAGGATTTGGGCCATCCTCACTGCTTTCCTAGGTATTAAGCAGGGAGCTGGACAAAAAGTGGAGCAGCCAGAACTCTAACTGGAGTTCATTTGGAACTGGAGTCCATGCCAGTATTACAGTCCATGCCTACCTACAGGCAGAGGATTATCCTGTTATGCTACTATGCTGGTCCTGGGATATTGATTCCTATTTACAACTCAAAACCTTAATTTATTACTGTTATAAAAATACAAGCAATTGGTGCATAGGTCGGGATAAATATTTGCCTATCCAAAGTTGAGTTTACTTTTTGGTTCAAAGAACATGTTGAGCACACTGATATGAGAGCCAGGGTATCATCACCCACACAGCTAGGAGGAGCAGGACTTTGGCTGAAGCCTGGCTTGGTCCAGTCCTCCTTACCTATAACTCCCAGAAACTGAAAGTGATCAGCCCCAGTGAGACATGAGCCAGGCATGCCAGGCCTCAGTCCTGTTGGCACAGCCGTTTCTGGTTAGTTTCACAGATAACCACACGCCCGTACAGGCCAGAGTACTATTGCCACACCTGCTGCTGATGGTAGTAAAAAGGAATGGGAAATAACAAGAGGAGTCTTCCAACCTCAGGACAAAGCTTTCGTTGCCTTTTAACCTTGCCTGAAAGCTGCTGGTATCTGGACCCCGCATGCCCACCTGGTTTCAGTGCACAGTCATACAATACTTCACTTGAGTACCTGTAGTCTCTGATCACTGGGCTGACATCGAGAAAGTTCTTCCCAGAAGAAACTTAGAAACTGTTTTATGGACCTGTAACTAGGTGACCATATCAGGAGAATAAACTTGGGTTGGCAGCATAAAGGAGAACATACAGAGGACCTTGACACCCAAGGAAAGAAGGTGAACTTTAGACTGTGCATCAGCAGAGTTGTTTTCTCTGCTTGCTGTTCATTTTAAGGCATTTTCGCTTTTAAAAACAGCTTCTGATTTAATTTTTTAGGTATTTGAAAGTCAAAATTAGAGAGAGAAACAGAGAGAGAGAGAGAGAGAGAGATCTTCCATGCACTGGTTCACTCCCCAAATGGCTGCAACGGCCAGGGCTAGACCAGGTGCTTCTTCTGAGTCTCCCACATGGATGCAGGAACCCAAGGATTTAGGCCACTATTTTCTGCTTTAGCCAGTTCATTATCAGGGAACTAGATTGGAAGTAGAGCAGTCAGGACTCAATGTAGCACCCATATGGGATACTCACATTACAGGTGTCAGCTTAATCCATTTTTGCCACAACACTGGCCCCTGAATATTTTTAAAAACTTTCCCACAAAGTTTCATATTTTTTTCTAAGTATAGATTAATTGTCCAATATCTAAAAATCCTTGGGAACGGAAGTATTTTAGATTTTGGATTTTGTCATATTTTGGAATAATATTTAGGATCTGGCATGCAAGCCTAAATGTGAAAATCATTTCTGTTTCATATATACCTTATACATGTATCCTGGAGTAGTCACGTGAATTGAGGTATGGAATTTTCCATTTGCAGTATTTTGTCAACACTCAAAAAATTTTAGGTTTGGGAGCATTTCAGATTTGGGATTTGGGGATCAGGAATGTTCATTCTTTATAAAATTTATGACTTCTGTGAAAAGGTCAGTCAGTATAAGTATACAGATAAAATTCAAAATTACCCTGTTAATACACAGTGGGTAGCTTTGTGATCATTTTTACTTTTTCTGTAGGATTGAACATGTCTGAGATAGACGAGGACCCCGAAAGGGCAGAGGCTGGGGGAGGACCAATCTCTCCTGCCCAGGACTGCATTTCTAGCTCCAAGGACATTTGCCACGGTGGCCTGGGGATTCCCTGCCTGCCTGGGTGAGTCCATCTCTTCTAACCTGAGACGACCTGGCAAACAGGTGACAAGAATCCAGCTGTCTCTGGGCCAACAGCTCTGCCACCCAAGCCTACCTCAGTGCTCAGAGCCCTGGTGGGCTTGATGGAGGTAGATCTGCTGCAAGTTTCAAGTGGAGCAGAATAGAATCCTGAGTCCTTTGTTCTCTGATCCAAAAGTGAAACTGGTTTTAAACCGACAACGGCAGATGGAGTTTGCACAGTGGAGGCTGAAGTTGCTGGCTGGCTATTCTGCTTTAACAGTACATTCAGCACCATTCCTGGAAAAGGGGCTTTCTTTGGACTAATCCTGGATTGTGTGGAAGATTGGGAGCAAGACTAGGAATGACTATATTATAGGCGCAGACGCCTTGGATCTGAAGATGAAAGTCAGCTGACACTATACTTCGGCCTCAAATACCCCTTATGCAAACGTAGTAACAGCCAAATATTGCTTAGAGCTTTTGAAACCTTGACAATGAAAATAGCCAAGGATGTGACTTTGATAGAGTCCATTTCTGGTTTTTAAACATTTTGTGATCATAGTGATTGTGAGAGAGGGCTTTGGTGAAATCCCCGGCTCCCACACAGCTAGTTGACTCTTTCTGAAACCAAAACTAGAAGGCATGGAGCTTTAAGACCAGAGGCCACCAGGAAGAGGCAGACAGGGTTTTATACACATATACACATATGTAAACATATCCATACACATAAATATATACATACACACACATACTTTATTTTTGAGAAGTAGAGAGCTATACAGGCTCAGACTGACAAAAGTCTCTCATAAACCAAGTAACTCCAAATTTCCGCAATGGCTGGAGGGGAGGCCAGGTCAAATCCAGGAGCTTGGAAGTCAGTCAAGGTCACCTACCTGGATGGCTTGAGCCATCACTGCCACCTCCTGGAGTCTGCATTGGCAGGAGGCTGGAGTTGGGAGACAGAACCAAAAAGTTAATCTGGGCACTCTGAAAGGGGGCCTAGGCATCTTCATGGCTAGTCTGAGTATCTGTTTCTTGGGTCAGACCTTAAAAAGCCTTCTACATGAGAGAGGGGGTGAAACACACATGAAGGTACTGTAAATTGGGAGACATCCGACCTGACAAGAGGAATTGGAAGGTCAGCTAGCACTTAGCAAAACCTGTGTGAATGAGATTGCCTGGAGATAACAGGTTACAGAGAACTTAACCTTTTGTGGACCCTTGACCTCTTTGAAAATGTGATGAAAGGGGCGTGGTGCAATGGCTCAATGGCTAAATCCTCACGTTACAATATGGGTGCCAGTTCGTGTCCCAGCTACTCTGCTTCCCTTCCAGCTCCCTGTTTGTGGCCTAGGAAAGCAATAGAGGACATCCCAAGGCTTTGGGACCCTGCACCCACGTGAGAGACCTGAAAGAAGCTCCTGGCTTTGGATTGGCTCAGCACCAGCCATTGTGGCCACTTGAGAAGTGAACCAGCAAATGGAAGATATTTCTCTGTCTCATGTTCTCTCTATAAATCTGATATGCCTTTCCAATAAATATATATAAATATTTGTTTAAAAAGAAAATGTGATGGAAGCTAAAGACTATCTCCCTAGAAAAATGCTCATGTAAAAAGAAATCACATGAATGCAGATTTAGTTTTAGGGGATTTTCAGATTAAGAACTTTTGATCTAAAAGGAGAGAGAAGCAACCTGAGAAAAGTTTTTGTTTTTTTTGTTTTTTTTTTTTTTTGATCTAGGAACGATTTATTGATTGATTTATAAATTCATTTGTATATCCATCATGTGTTTATTTGAAAGGCAGAGAATCTCACATCCACTGTTCACTCCCCAAAAGGCCACAATGAAACGGGAGCCAGGAATTCCATCCAGTCTACTTGGTGGGTGGCAGAAACCCAAGTACTTGGCTCATCTTTCTGCTGCTTTCCTATGTGCATTAATAGGGAGTTTGATGGGAAAATGAAGTAACCAGGACTCAAACCAGCCCTAAAGTCGGATGTCGGCATCACAGACAGTTTAACTTGCTGTGTCACAAACCAATCTTGCAAGAAAAATTTTAAAGGATGGAATGATGATAAAGGGGGCAAAGAAAGATGGCTCAGGAATTCCAAAAAGAACAAGGAGCCTGGTGCCAAGAAGCACTGGGAGAATAGAAATATAAGGAGGGAGTGATCAACAGTGCTAAAGGCTGTTGGAACTTCAGCCGAGGTCAAGATTGAGTCATATTTGGCTCTCATAACTGAAAAACCACCGGTAGGGGCCCTGAGAATAGTTTCCAAGGAGTGGTGGGTAATGGTAGCTCTGGATCTGTTTTAACTCGAGAAGTATTTAGGAATTATAGCTAGGTAGAAGTAAGAGCATGGGACTTGTTCTATTTAGTTTTTGGTATTTTGTTAAATAAAGATTTTTTTTTCCTAGAGAAAGGAATAAGATGGATAAAACTGTTTTCCAATTTGTTCTCCACTATATACACACATACTCACATGCATCTGTATATATATATATATATATATATACATACTGAAACCTGGAGCAGTGGGCAGGTATCTGGATCCCCCACCCACGTGGCTGTGTCTGGGGGAACCTGTGCCGGGCCAGGATTCCTGCTGGGGATCCTAGCTCCCCATCCACCACTGCTAGGTGGGGGAGGAGGGCGGAGGGTTGTGGGGGAGAGGGTCCTAGGCTTGTGGTCGGCCAGAGCGCCAACTGGCGGTGAGCTCTGGGGTCTTCGGGATATGGAATTACTGCCTAGGGACATCCATGGATAAGTATGTTAGTGACAAATGAATCCTGAGGGACACCCAAGGACAGAGCCAATGTGCTTGCAGATAAGCAAGGGGACTGACCTGGTGGTTTGGAGGGGAGAGAACTGAAAATTTTTATGAGTCAGACTGATACACCAGTCCACATGGGAGTCCTGAGTTGGGCTTGTTAGCATGGAACATGGCTGACCACCACACACCAACGAACATGCAAAAGCTATGGCTGGAAGACTGTCTGGCAAGGCTAGATCCCAGTACCTGGCAGTGAGTGTTGGATCAGGAAATGGGTCACATTAGATTAGGCCATGATACCAACCAGCACACAAGAGAACCAGGTCCAGGGTTGGATTCTGTAGGGGATATGTGGGCCCAATCTTATGAAACTATAAATTCCGCTGGTTAGCTTGAGAGTTGGGATGGTGATGGGCTGAACTAGGTGTGACCATGGAACTCACTAATGCTCACCAGTACTGGGGCTGGGAACAAGCGGAGCAGGTCCAGGCTGCAGCACCTGCATGAGCACCCTAAAACAAGGTGTGGGGCAGACCAGGCTGCACCAGCTCATATAAAGCCTGGGACAGATGGGTCAGGCCATGTCGGGTAAAGGCCAGACACCTGCTGGCATGCATGAGATCTGGGTCTGGGTGTTGGGGGCACTGACAATGTCCTGCCCTAAGATGACGCCTGGACCCTACTTCCTCTTGGAGCCTTGGAGTAACAGGTTTCAGGAAGTGCCCTGTGATTGGCCCTTTACCACATGAAGCTGATTGGATAGGATTGATATATAAGCCAGGGCTTTGGGGAGGGGAGGGGCTTCTGCATAACAGAACTAACGGAACTAATGGTTTTAACAGAAGGTTGGAATAAAGCGCCTTTGAGACACTCTCCAGTGTCGGGTGATTTCTTCCACGGGATGGGAGACCCCGCTATCTGGGAGTGACCTGAGTGGCGGAACCTGGGAAACTTCCCCAGTGGGTCATAGCTCCCACTGGTGAGTGCATGGTCCAGGCCTGGGTGTTGGGCAGGCTGTGCAGGGTAGCTCCATCTGTCAGCAAGTGTGAGTTAGTTTTGGAAGGGGGCAGACTGGGCAGGGCCAAGCAAACCATAGCCCACTGGCAAGTGCATAAACCAGGATGGAGTGCAGGTCATGCTAGGCTAGGCTGCCATACGTACTGGTTTACATGAGCCAGGGATGAGAGCAGACTAAGCAGAGCCAAGTTGCAGCACCTGCCAGTGAGAGTTGGGTTTGGGGCCAGCTAGGCCAGGCTAGGCTGCAACATCCAAAGGCAAAGACCAAGACAGGGGAGGGACTTTTCCAAACTAGGTTAAAGCAACTACTGGCATACACAAGATCTGTGGCTGGGATCCGGCCTGGTTGGGGAGAGAACGGGACACCCTGGCTGGGTTGTGGGTCCTACTGATGAACATGGGGATCAGGATGGGGTTGCAGTCTGGTCTGTAGTATTTCTAAGCATGGGTGTGGACTGGGTCTGGGATGTGCCAGACTGGGCTAGACTCCAGCACCCACTGGTGATTGTGAGGACCAGGATGGGTGTACGATGGCCCGGACTAGATCTCTGTCCTTGCTGAGCCATGCATGAGCTGTGTCTGGGTGTGGACTAGACTTGCCTGGCCTGTACCACTCAATAGTAAGAACTAGAATAGGTGAGGGCCATTCAGGAAGGGCTACTGTTCCCGCTAGGACAGGAGGTGGACTAAGTAGGGATGGGCCACGGACCCACCGATATGCACAAGATCTGGCATCGGGAGAGGTTCTAACGGAGGAGCTTGAAGAATTCCTCTGTCAGGACACAGTCCCTGCAGGTGAGTGCAAGAACCAAGAAAGGGAGCAGCCCAGACCAGGTCAGGTTATGGTACCCACAGGCTTACCTTTGGCTCAGGTCTGGGGTAAGCCAGGCTGGGCCAGTTCATATCACCTGCTGGCAGATCCAAGAGCAAGGATGGTGTGTGGGTCATGCCAGGTCGGGCTGCAGTACAAGCCAGTTCACATTAGGGCTAAGACTGGGGACTGGATAGGCTAGCTAGGCTCTAGTCCCCACCAGCATGAGCTGGAATTGGGGGTAGGCTTGGCCAGGCTACAGCACCCACTGGCAAATGCCGAGGTGAGGCGAGGCCGTGCCAGACTGGGCCGCAGCACCCAACTAGCACACATGAGACCCAGAGGAGAGCAGGCAAACCCAATAGAGGGGTTGCAGGGAACTCCATAGTGTGAAAG